TTTCATAAAGAGGTTTATGTAAACAAGGTTTTAATAGCAATCACAGGTGTTTGTGCAATGGTTTCAGAAGATTATCACTTTAGGAGGTTTAAAAGAAAGTTGGGGTTGTGTGTGGTGAGAGGGAAATTTTCCAATTACCTATCTTCCAATCCAGTAATTCAATAAAGGAAACTTCCAACTGTCTTTGTGTTGCCTACTTAGCCTCCATGAGTTGCATACACAGGCTACACAGCAATTTGCTTTTATATAAAAGATTTGACCATTGTAAGAAAAAAAAGTTTTTAGGGGAAAATCTTTAGAACCTTGGGAACTTTAGTAGTGATAGGGATAGAAAGTGTATCGGGGTGTCAAACTGGCAGCCCTCCAGCTGTTGCAAAACTACAAGTCCCATCATGCCTCTGCCCTTGGGGGTCCTGCTTGTAACTGTCAGTCTTGCAATGCCTCATGGGACTTGTAGTTTGGCAACAGCTGGAGGGCCGCCAGTTTGACACCTGTGATGGCAACCCCTAACAATGGCCCTTTCTCATTTGATACCCTTAGGTCTAATTAGCCCGCCTAGCGATTATCTAGGTACTGCAGAATGATTAGTCCCATGTTATAGTGAACAGGATAGGAGCGGGTTCTTCTGGAAGATCACCAGGTCTTTAACTGCTTCCAGACCGCTTACTGTAGATGTATGGCTGCAGGGCGGTCTAGCTGCGCTGCATCACATACATGCATGTGATCCAGCATTTGTGGGTAGGGGGCGTGCACGCCACCCTGGCAGTGCTGTCATAAACCACAGCATAAGCTGATCAGTGTTTTAGGCCAGGGGTGTCCAATCTATGGCCCTCCAGGTGTGGAGAAACTGCAAGTCCCATGAGGCCTTGCAAGACATCTACAGGCAAGACACCCAGAGGCAGGGGCGGACTGACCATTTGGAACCTTGGGCACTGCCTGAGGGCCGGGGTCAGTAGGGGGCCCCAAGAGATGCCCCTGGTACCTTTTTCATAGGCTTTTTTGAGTTTGGGAAAGGACACAGGGGCCCCATGATCCCCTATTTCCCGGGGGCCCCATGAGTTGTCAGTCCGCTCCTGCCCAGAGGCAAAGGCATGATATGACTTGTAGTACTTCAACAGCTGGAGGGCCACAGTTTGGACACCCCTGGTCTAGGCCAATGATTTATGGAAGGGACATGATGAGTGAATGACAGAAGAGAGCCTTGTACTGGAAAACAAAGCAGGGCTCTCTACCAATGCAGCGATGTGGCTGTTTTTTTACTCCCTGGAAATCAGATAATAAAAAACAGTCACATCCATTAGTAAAAATAACACACATTACACAGTTTACACTTGTTAGACACACAGTAAACCCTTTGATTGCCTCTAGATGTTAACCCTTTCCCAGCCAGTGTCATTAGTCCAGTGACAGTGTAAAGTATTAACACTGATCCCTGTATTAGTGTCACTGATAATGTTCCTACAAAGTGTCAGTTAGTGACAGATTGCCCTCAGCAATATCACAGTCCCACTATAAAGCATTCATTGGCACCATTACTAGTATAAAAAGTAAATAAAAATTCCAGTATATAAACCGTCATTTGTAGATGCTATAAATTTCACACAAACCAATTAATACATGCTTATTGGGATTTTTTTTTTACCAAAGATATGAAGAAATTAGATTTTTTTTTTTATATATGTTTTATAGCAGAAAGTAAACAACATTTTTTAAATGGTCTTTTTTCATTTTTTATAACAGAAAAATGAAAAACCCAGTGGGGATAAAATACCACCAAAACAAAGCTCTATTTGTGTAAAAAAATTATATAAATTTGATTTTGGTACAGCATTGCATGACCGCGCAATTGCCAGTTAAAGTAATGCAGTAGTAGTAAATAGCTAAAATGGCCTGGTCATGAAGGGGGTAAAATCTTCCTGGGCTTAAGTGGTTATAGGATTAAAAACTGGACAATGTGCATGTATTGCAGAGATGCACTCTATATGTTTTTTTTTATTTTGCCATATACACTATAATTATAAGCTGTATGTGCAACACTGAAATTAATAAAATAACCATCTATGACTTAACAATAAAGCATCAGGTAATTTGCTTGCTCATGTCTTTAAGACATGTAACTTATGAGTTAAGCCCTAAATGGTGATACAGAATGTAGCAGGAATGCTGTCGTGTTCGTGTTTTCATATTGATGTTAGTGCAAAAGCCTAATGTATGACCTTAGAGACTGCAAATGTCTTTCCTAGGTTTAATTTCATGGCCTTAGGACCTTGAGCAATACAGATCAGTCACATTTGCCCCATTAAAGGAAAGGCATGAAGGTTATTACCTTGCAATTGCAATGATTTCTCAGGCACTGTGGCAGTCAAAACAGTTCTCAGGAGACCTTACTCAGCTCATCTAAGTTAAAGCTATCATATAAAATACTGTCAACTAATCCTTTAATCCCCAGGTTATCAGAGGAAGCCAAAAACAGCTGGGTTGCTTAAAAATCCTTATATCCAGTGTTCCATTTATTAAGGTGACCTGAGAACATCAACCTGTGTCTACTTTTGTAGACCGTTGTCTTTGTGTGGAGATTTCCAGAATGATACTGTATGCTGCTTTTTTGGAGCAGATCTGTTACCAATGTTAAATGGAGCTATCTTTAAAGCTGTTTAAAGAGAATTGAAAGAAAAAAACATTCATATTCACCTAGGTGGGTGCAGAATTAGTCCAAAGCTGTATCTATCTCCTCGCCGCCTCTGAGACCGAGAACCAAGCCATCAAAAACCGCTGATCGCTCAGTTCTCGGTCTTCAGTGAGCAGAGAGCTATCTGTTCTGCTCCTCCAGCGCTCACTGGAGGGCTGGGTTCTGATGGGATCTCTCCATAGTTTGGACTGACTCACTGAATGCAGCTGGCAGCGGACTTTAGCCCACTGTTGGCTGAATATAGGTCACAGGAGTGCAGAACTAAGTGCACTTCTCAACCCACAGGAGAAGTATGGCCAAAAGTGCTTTAACTGCCTCTTGCCCGCCATATAGGGAAATGACAGGTGCAAGGCAGTTCTCTCGTTCTGGGAGGACATCATATATGACATCCTCCCACTCTAACCTCGCATGCGTGGCTCTGGAGGCACGCAGTGTGGTGATCGTGGTGCGCTGTGTCCCTCTGACACAGTGGATCTCTGATCACTGGAAAGAGCCGAAGCCGTCAGCTCTGTCATGTGATCAGCTGTGTCCAAGCACAGCTGATCGCATGTACAGTGGGGATCGAAAGTTTGGGCACCCAGCTAAAAATTTGTATTAATGTGCATAAAGAAGCCAAGGAAAGATGGAAAAATCTCCAAAAGGCATCAAATTACAGATTAGACATTCTTATAATATGTCAACAAAAGTTAGATTTTATTTCCATCATTTACACTTTCAAAATAACAGAAAACAAAAAAATGGCGTCTGCAAAAGTTTGGGCACCCTGCAGAGTTAATATCTTGTACTGCCCCCTTTGGCAAGTATCACAGCTTGTAAACGCTTTTTGTAGCCAGCCAAGAGTCTTTCAATTCTTGTTTGAGGTATCTTTGCCCATTCTTCCTTACAAAAGTCTTCCAGTTCTTTGAAATTTCTGGGCTGTCTGTCACGCACTGCTCTTTTAAGGTCTATCCATAGATTTTCAATTATGTTGAGGTCAGAAGATTGTGAAGGCCATGGCAAAACCTTCAGTTTACGCCTCTTGATGTAATCCCCCGTGGATTTCGAGGTGTGTTTAGGATCATTATCCATTTGTAGAAGCCATCCTCTCTTTAACTTCAGCTTTTTCACAGATGGCATCAAGTTACCATCCAAAATTTGCTGAAATTGTATTGAATCCATTTTTCCTTCTACTCGTGAGATGTTCCCTGTGCCACTGGCTGCAACACAACCCCAAAGCATGATTGATCCAACCCCATGCTTAACAGTTGGACAGAGGTTCTTTTCATTAAATTCTGTGGCCCTTCTTCTCCAAACGTACCTTTGCTCATTCCGGCCAAAAAGTTCAATTTTAACCTCATCGGTCCACAGAACTTGTTTCCAAAATGCATCAGGCTTGTCTATATGTTCATTTGCAAAGTTCAAACGATGATTTTTGTGGTGAGAACGTAGAAGAGGTTTTCTTCTGATGACTCTTCCATGAAGACCATATTTGTACAAGTATCTCTTTATAGTGGAATAGTGTACCACAACTCCAGTGTCTGCCAGATCTTTCTGGAGGGATCGTGCAGTCAAACGTGGGTTTTGAATTGTTTTTCTCACAATCCTGCGAGCTGTTCTGTCTGATATTTTTCTTGGTCTTCCAGATCTTGCTTTAACTTCCACTGTTCCTGATGACTGCCATTTCTTAATTACATTCCGAACAGAGGATATTGACATCTGAAAACGCTTTGCTATCTTCTTATAGCTTTCTCCAGCTTTGTGAGCGTCAACTATTTTCAGTTTCAGTTTTCTAGACAACTGCATAGAAGAACCCATGGTGCTGATTGTTGGGGCAAGGTCAGATGAGTCTGGGCATTTAAAACCTTTGAGATTGACATCGCCTGGTCTTCCCAGACGATGATTGAGAACAATCCATGACACTGGCAGGTCTCAGCTTTGCAAAGGGGGCAGTGCATGCTATAAATTCTGCAGGGTGCCCAAACTTTTGCAGACGCCATTTTTTTGTTTTCTGTTATTTTGAAAGTGTAAATGATGGAAATAAAATCTAACTTTTGTTGATAATTATAAGAATATCTAATCTGTAATTTGATGCCTTTTGGAGATTTTTCCATCTTTCCTTGGCTTCTTTATGCACATTAATACAAATTTTTAGCTGGGGTGCCCAAACTTTCGATCCCCACTGTAAATAAGGAAATGCTGGTTATCATAATTTCTTTCTTCACGAGCTGTCACGCTGACACCTTGCGAGGAAAGGAGAGCCGGTAATCGGCATTCCTCAGAGGGGACATGTACACTAATCATCAGGGCACTGATGATCAGTGTGCCCTGATGATTAGTGTAGCCCCATCAGTGCCAGCTGTCAGTGCTCATCAATGCCACCTGCCAGTGCCCATCAGTGCCACATCAATGCCACATATCAGTGCCTACCAGTGCACATCAATGCCACATATCAGTGCCCATCTGAGCTGCCTTTCAGTGCCACCTATCAGTGCCAGTCAGTGCCACCTATCAGTGCCAGTCAGTGCCACCTATCACTGCTGCCAATCAGTGCCACCTATCAATGCCAGTCAGTGCCACCTATCACTGCTGCCAATCAGTGCCACCTATCAGTGCCAGTCAGTGCTGCACATCAGTGCCACCTATCAGTGCCTGTCAGTGCTCCCTATCAGTGCCTCCTAACAGTGGCAGTTAGTGCCTCCTAACAGTGTCAGTCAGTGCCACCTATCAGTGCCAGTCAGGGCCGCCTATCAGTGACACCTATCATTGCTGCCTATCAGTGCCATATATGAGTGCTGCCTTTCAGTGCCCATCAGAGATGCCTGTCAATGCCCATCAGTGCCACCTGCCAGTGCCTCCTCATCAGTGCCCATCAGTGCCGCCTATCAGTGCCCATCAGTGCAGCCTATCAGTGCCCATCACTACAGCCTCATTAGCGCATATCAGTGAAGGAGAGAAATAATTTATTTACAAAATTTTATAACAGAAATTAAGAAAAAACATTTTTTTTTTAAATTTTCAGTTGTTTTTTGGTTTGTTTAGCAAAAAAATTAAAAACCCAGAGATGATTAAATACCACCAAAAGAAAGCTCTATCTGTCTCAAAAAAAATGATAAAAAATTTCATATAGGTACAGTGTTGCATGACCGTGCAATTGTCATTCAAAGTGTGATAGCACTGAAAGCTGAAAATTGGCCCCGGCAGGAAGGGGGTATAAGTGCCCTGTAGGCAAGTGGTTAAAGGCTGTATAGAGAAAACACTGTATTGATGTAATGTACCCAATAACAACTTAAATGCATAAATGATGTCCACTCCGTTGAACCCAAAAACAAAAATGTAATATATTGAAGCTTACCAATCATGGTGGCTGCAATTGTTTTCTTTTTAAGCCTCTTTTTCCTTTAATTTCACCTATTGACCAGTAATGCTCCTCCTATCTTAGGGTGTCTCCACTCTGGATGGAGGAATGGAGGAGCAACAGAGACAACTTTGGAAAACAGCATTGTCAATTCTAGGAGAGGGTTGTGTTAACACTAACATTTGTAAGCAGTTACAGCAACAGCTTTTTTCTTATTAAAACAAGGGTTTTATTGTATATAAATTAATATGAGCTGACCACTGTAAGCATCTCTGTGAGTGCTAAACAGTTTGTCTGCAACCATCTAACTGTTACTTTTGTTGAAAAGCTTGGTCTGTTACAGAAAATTAAAAAATAAGAATTATAGGCCAGATCATCAGGTGAAAATTAAGGGGGAGAAAAAGCCTAAGAATATAAAACTAATGCAGCCTCCACATCTAAGAATAGGTAAGCTGCAAAATAACACATTTTTGTTTTTGGGTTAAAAATGTATCCTGCTTTAAAATGTATCCTGCATATTAAGTATTACAATCACAGTATTATATAGATTCAGTAAGTATCTCCTTCTTGCCATTAATAAAAAATGGCTGCTGCTAAGCTCCTCCATGTGGCATCAGCATTTGTGTTGTGAGCATGCCTTTGTGTTGTGAGCATGCTCTCACCACGTAATGTGAATAAATACTTTTGCACAAAAGTCTAAAAATTAACAAGCTGCATGCACAATGTGACCAAATTATAGTATTGTTTAAATCAGTGCTGCCCTCAAACCACTAAAGCTAGGTACACACCGCCCAAATATTAGTCAGTTCAGCAGGTACATTCGGACCATGTGTACATTTGTCCTTCCGACAGAAGCTGGTCTAAGGACCAGCTTTTGTCAAAGGGACATGTTGGAAAACCAGCATCTGATAAGTCTTCTCAGTCAATGGCTGCAAGTGCTGATTAGTGTGTTCTGGCAGGGAGGGTCCCCCTATCACGGGTGTCGGCAACCCGCGGCTCCAGAGCCGCATGCGGCTCTTTTTTACCTTGGCTGCGGCTCCGGAGCACACTGCCCACCAGGTGACAGGCAATAGGGCAGCAATGGGCAACCTACGGCCCGCGGGCCGTATACGGCCCGTCGGACCTTTTAATCCGGCCCGCGGAGCTAGGCTCCCGCTAGGCTCCTCTCACAGTCCGCCCTGAAGACCGGTGTAGCATGAAAATCTGTCTCCTATGAGGATCTGTCCCCCTCGACGTATCTGCGCATGTGCCGGAGATCGCCGATCGGCTGCTAATGCCTGAAACTGGCACATGCGCAGATACGTCGAGGGGGACAGATCCTCATAGGAGACAGATTTTCATGCTACACCGGAACGGCGCGGGAACACGGCGAGAGGAACGCGCGGAGCAAAGGTAAGTGAATTGACACAGGGGGGACTTGGGGACTTAATATGGGGGATGAATTAATATGGGGGATGAATTAATATGGGGGATGAATTACTATATGGGGGATGAATTACTATATGGGGGATGAATTACTATATGGGGGATGAATTACTATATGGGGGATGAATTACTATGGCGGATGAATTACTATATGGGGGATTAATTACTATGGGGGATGAATTACTATAGGGGGATGAATTACTATGGGGGATGAATTACTATATGGGGGATGAATTACTATATGGGGGGATGAATTACTATAGGGGGGATGAATTACTATATGGGGGATGAATTACTATAGGGGGGATGAATTACAATATGGGGGATGAATTACTACATGGGATTAATTACTATGGGGGATGAATTACTATATGGGGATGAATTACTATGGGGGATGAATTACTATATGGGGGATGAATTACTATATGGGGGATGAATTACTATATGGGGGATTAATTACTATGGGGGATGAATTACTATATGGGGGATGAATTACTATATGGGGGATGAATTACTATGGGGGATGAATTACTATATGGGGGATGAATTACTATATGGGGGATGAATTACTATGGGGGATGAATTACTATATGGGGGATGAATTACTATGGGGGATGAATTACTATATGGGGGATGAATTACTATATGGGGGATGTATTTTCAGTTTTAAAAATGTGGCTCTCAAAATAAATTTCAGTCATGGTTTTGGCAAGATTTGGCTCAGTTGAAAAAAAAGGTTGCCCACCACTGACCTAAGGCTATGATTGTGATTATGACGATACACTGTGGCCCTGATTAACCCTCTGCTTACTGGGCCCTTAAACCCCCTTCATGACCAGAGCGCTTTTTGCAATATATGCAGTGTCGGATTTGTTTTAAATGTTGCAGTGGTTTTGCGGCTCCCAGTCTTTTTTTCCTCTCGGAAACGGGTCCAAGTGGCTCTTTATGTCTTAAAGGTTGCAGACCCCTGCCCTATCAGAACGCAAAGAAACAGCAGGAAAGCTCTCTGCATTATGCTTTGCTGGGGTTTTTTTTTTTTTGTTTTGCCTTCCTCTGGATCAACTTCAGCCAGACTAACTATGTAACTATGTTACTATGCACTAACTTAGTTAGTTAGTTAGTTAATACAGCGATCTTTCAAGTTTTTTTTTTCATTCAGCCAGCTGGGTTGAATGAAAAAAAAAATGAATGTTTGTACCAGGAATTAGTCTCGGTTGTTGTGTGATGTTTAGGCGCCTATGCAGTAAATCTTACATGTCTTGTGACATTAGAGTTTATAGGATAAAAGTCGCAATGAAGTAGTTTCAAAGTACTGCAGAAACCTTTTTAAACGTTGCTGCTACTTGAATCGCATTGAAATGAGTATGTTTTCGCATGTCATGCAACTCTGTGTTGCAAGTCACATGCCAAGTCTTACCAGTGCTAGAAAATTAATTAGAACCCCCAAATTTAAATTTTAAGCAGAGACCCTAGGGAATAAAATGGTGGGTTTTGCAATTTTTTTTCTTGCCACATGGTATTTTTTTTGTCACATGGTTTTACAAACACAATGAATTTAGAATGAATTTTAATGTACAAAACACAATATAGTACCCAATTGTTTGTTAAGATATAAAAAATTATGTTACGCCGAGCAAATAGACACCTAAAATGTCACACTTTAAAATTGGTGACATACTACAGTACTTAAAAATCTCCATAGTTGATGCTCAAAAAGCCTTCAAAGATTACCAGTTTAGAGTTACACAGAAGGTGTGGTGCTAAAATTATTGCTCTTGCTATAACCTTTGCAGCAATTCCCAGCATATGCGGTGCGAACACCGTTTACATATGCATGCAAAAACTACGTATGCGTTAGCCTTTGCACGCGAGCACGGAGAGACGGGGTGCACAACTTTTTTTTAATTTATTCTATTTACATTTTTTTTGCACTCTCTCTTTTATTTTTTTTTTATCACTTTTATTGCTATCACAAGTGATGAACAACATCCCTTGTGATAGCATGGGCAGTGCCAGGTCCTCTTTACTGAAACATCTGGGGTCTATTAGACCTCAGATCTCTCCTCTGCTCTTGAAAGTATATGATCAAATTGAGATCGGTTTGATGAGATGCTTTTCACAGGCCGGTAACAGCCTGTATACATTACACCAAAACCTAAAGTGACAAAATACTCGTCGCTTCTTGTTTCTTAGACCATAGAGATGATCAGGGATGTCCTGGTCCTTGGTCATTTCTGTGGTAAGTCAATGGAACCCTGGTTTAACGGGATAGCCTGGGAAGGAGGCAGGGGACCCCCTATTGCCGCATGTAAAAGCAATCTTTTTTTTAATTTATTCTATTTACATTTTTTTTTGCACTCTCTCTTTTATTTTTTTTTTTTTATCACTTTTATTGCTATCACAAGTGATGAACAACATCCCTTGTGATAGCATGGGCAGTGCCAGGTCCTCTTTACTGAAACATCTGGGGTCTATTAGACCTCAGATCTCTCCTCTGCTCTTGAAAGTATATGATCAAATTGAGATCGGTTTGATGAGATGCTTTCACAGGCCGGTAACAGCCTGTATACATTACACCAAAACCTAAAGTGACAAAATACTCATCGCTTCTTGTTTCTTAGACCATAGAGATGATCAGGGATGTCCTGGTCCTTGGTCATTTCTGTGGTAAGTCAATGGAACCCTGGTTTAACGGGATAGCCTGGGAAGGAGGCAGGGGACCCCCTATTGCCGCATGTAAAAGCAATCTAGCAGCTGTTTAGCCACTAGCATTGCTTTTACATGAAAAAGCATAACCAGAAAAAAAAAGATACTGGGGTGATGACTGCATGGCCTAGTATAACCACCTCAATCTAAAGACATACTGGCACATCTTGTGGGTGGGAAATGGTTAAGGTCCACCATTTTGCTGCCACACATATCTGTTGGTCAGTCTTAAAGGGGTAAGGCACTTCCTGTGACAACTTCTC